TCCAGTAGTGTAAGGGTGTATCGTATTTTGTCTTGGTCATTTCCCAGTGTCCATCCGACGGCATCGAAGTAGGTCAAGAGTTGGACCATGAATCCTCGTAGCTTGCTTCTTTCTCCGTTGTATCGTGGTGGAGTCTTAACTTTGGGTTGTTGCCCAACTCCTCTTATAGCTTCTGGTATCATTTGTTCCACGTCATCCCGTGGAATCATCTGAGGAGGTGCTGGTCCTGCCGGCGGTGGACCTGGGGGTGGTGCTGCTCCTGACATTCTCTCCGGTCTTGGTGTCTCAGGTGTGTCTTCTTCGTTTGGAGGGGTAGTTTGTTCAGGTGTAACCGGACTAGTGGCTCTTGCTGAGTGTCGACTTGCTTCGCTTAATGCTTCGTCCAATTCTCCTAATCCTAGACTGTCGTCTTGGACGTCGATGTCTCCTTCGTGATCTCTGTTGAACGGATCCGTTGTGAAATTGTTAAGTGTCGCGTTATAGACACGTTCTAATGTCAAGAATCCTACCGGTCAGACGAGTGATGCGACAGGTAACGATTCTTAACACGAGGTGAGGTAATAGTTCGTAGGCCTATGCCTACGCGACAGTGATAGCAAAGTCCTGTGACTTCGATCGTATCGCGCCTATTCCTCTCGATCTTCTTAAGTCTTCGTTCAGGACTTAGGCGTGGCTTGTGGGACGAGAAATAGTTTTCTCGCTTAAGGTGATATAGAGATTAAAGAGCGTAAAGGTAGGTTTTATTGATAAAATCTTAAAGGTAGGAAATAAACAAGAAGAACGTGTGAAGAGCTAATACTAGGGGTCCTAGTAACCCTTTATATAGTAGGTCTTCACCTAGCATGACTCATACTTATGCGTCATGCGAATCCTTGTGACTCATAACTATGAGTCATGCGAAATCCCTCAGCTGACTTCTATGAGTCGCTGCGCAACATCCCTAACCCATCAAAACATAATAACTATGTCCGGTGCACAACTCGCGTCACCAGAGTGAAACCCATGACTCATAATGTGAGCCATGTGCGAAAATCATAACATTGTGTGACTCGCAAGTGTGAGTCACGAACAGGTAAACATAATAACCTATGGCGCACTACTGTGCGTCATGTGAAATCCTAACATACCTATAGCTTGGAATCCCGAGCTATGTAAAATCTGCCTCGCTTAGTCACCGTTTGTGACAGTCTTTTGAGTATCTATCAGATCCTGATTGAAACCCTTTACAGCACTGGATAAAGGAATGAGGTTCTCAGCAGCACGAAGGTCGGAAATTCTATTTTTACACCCTTACTGTTTGGCTGTCCTAATAATGTTTGAACTACCAGTGGTCCTTTTCAGCACCCTAGTTTTCTCAGATATTTGAGCTAAGGTCATTTTGTGAGGCCTGTCAACCATTGAAAAGCCTAGGACCTGTCTGTGCTTACTCAAAGATATTGTTGGACTCTGTGGTCCTGACATTTTTGAACTATATTGGAAGAATGAAGCTGTGGGGTATGTTCTACTCATGTACATCTACATCTACAAGTATTAACATCATATATTACTATTTACTAACTAAGACATGTATTCAATTCCGATTGGTTACTGCCCAGACTGCACAATAATGCACTCATATACACACTAATGCTGGGCTGGTCGTGTTCACAAATGCCAGGACAGGACGAGTACTTGTAGAACACACAAAGCTTAGGAGCTGTACCTCCGTAGAGGGTAACACCGGTAACAGTGGGTTCTTGTTGTAAGGTGGTGTAAGGTCGAGGTAGCAGTCGATGGTAAGGCATGGCGTTCGCTAGAGGGAAAAATGGGAGAAGTGGAAAGGGACTAAAGGGTAACTGCGGAGGAGGTGGGAGTAAAAACCGATAGCTATCATAGGTTGACTGATAACATGCTTTATTCCTTGTATAGAATAAGGTACATTGAACACCGACTAGACCTCCACCAACGGGGCCGTAGGGGGATAAATTTCACTTTGGCACGAGAGCGCGCAAAGGGGGGAATTCGGCTACTAACCAATAACTACAGATAGTCGTACCTCACTACCCCGGACAACCGAGATTGAAAGAAACTTACCCGGCACGCCAGGTCATCAGATCAGATGGCTTATCCGAGGATCAGATCACACTTTCGAGATAAGTGTTCAGTACCACATAAACATTTTCGAGGTCATGGCAAAGCTACCGTATCAGTATCATAGCTGGGTATGAACAGGGGAATCATTTAGCCTACTAAAACCCAGTAATTCAGTTGCCTTGGCAGCCCCTAGGCCTCCGCCGGTGAGCCCGCTGGCCGCACCACCCCACCATAGAACCAGCGACTTCTACGAAGCTCAAATAAAACGAGTAACCGGAGCTTGGAGAATATTTTACCAGTGGCCACAATCTGTTGAAAAGCAACCACGAGACCAACTAGCTAACTTATAATATCCCTTATGAATGGTACTATGGGTGCCGCAAAAACTCTCTCGCATCTCTCCTGAAAGTGGCTCAGCTCTTGACAAATCCCCAGAGCGCAGTAGAAGAACGTGTGGTATTGGCGTCACTATTCTCCGCCCCAGCTGCCCGTGTTTTGGGCCCATCGTTGCACCGTAGTCGCAACTAACGGTACCAGGAGTAGAGTGGGTAAGAGTGGAGCGCAAAGGTGGCATTGATGCCCACGGTTAGAAAAAAAACATTTCACCAGAGCTCGAACTGGGGACCGCCAGCGTGTTAGACAGGTATAACCAACTACACCGCGAAACCAAATTAATATGTTTGGCTCATGTTGTCACTTAGGCCGACCCAATTCACGCCCGCTTCAGGCTAAAAAAAAAAAGGTGTGGTTGCATCGCTCGTGATTATGTACTGCACTCGTGCCTCCTCGCCAAGAGTTGGCTCTCGTTTCGGAATAGCTGCTACCGACCTATAAGCGGTATAGCCTTCAATTCACCCCCCCCCCCCCCCGCCATATCCCAATAATCAATGGACTGTAAATACAGAAACCAAAGTAGCAATCATTTACACAAACAGAATCATGTATTAAATCTATTATCTCCTCCACATGCTTGAACTTGTAGCAAATTTGTGTTGAATGAACTTTGATGTGTGTATTTCACGGACGACTGCTGCATCATCAGGAAAGATCCCTCCGCAGCAGATCGCGGAATATATTGCCACCAAGTAGTCACACCATACTACATTTGGGTTTATGCTCACTATGCCGAAACAGGTGCCAACTCTTGGCGAGGAGGCACGAGTACACTTGGTCCCGACCTCCACCCAGGCGATAAATTCTCCCTAACACTAGTCAACCCCCTCCATCAAGACTAGTAAGGCACTCTTACAGAAAGCCCCGATTCTCCAGGTCCGCTGGGCACGCGATATCCGCCATCTCCATCGCGATGAGGGTGTGATATTATTTGTGAAAGCTTTCTTGGAAGGTAAGGCCGCCGGCATCTTGGAAGAGATTTTTCTTGAGTTTTGGGGGGTTTTGGCGAGTTTTGGTGAATGCGAAAGTGGGTCTCTCGACCGATTTAAGCGCATTGCGAAGCCCGAGCTATACCCTGTCCCGCTATCCAAGTTTACTCACCAACCCTCTCACGAAAACACAAGGTATGCGAACATTGGTGATGGCCAGCACAACCGTGTGATTGCTACAGTTCTGACTTCTAAAACTGTTACAGTGGGCACAGCGGGTTGTATTTGGGTTGGGTACAACATGAGATAGGCAGCCATTGCCAGGGGATATAGAGCTGGGTAAAAAAAGAGTAGATTATCTTCGAAATTTACCAAGGTCTCAGGATCTTGCCAATTAAATTACTTACTCTACGCTCCCCTAATGAAATTTGTCCGAAGGTACCCACCAATCCGTCCCGGGATAATGGATCCTTCCCGTCTCCTCCTTGCTAACCTCACATTGTATACTACGCTGGTGAAAGGTTCAAGTTGCTCCCGCAGAATTTGCTGGAAAACTAGCTTATAGCCTAGGGGCAAGGCACAGCTAATCCGAAGCAGTTGGTGAAGCTTAATGCCCAAGAGAGGTGGAGGAGATTTCTCGATCCTCGTGTTGGTGTAACGGGGTGGATTGGCTATTCCTTGGGGAAAAAAAGGTCTGCACAAGGGCACACCTGTGGTATGATATAGCTCTTCACCACGTGATCGACTGTGATTTCTCTTTTTGTCGGGTCCGTAGCTACCTTTTAACCATGTTTTGTTTTAAACTCTAGATCCTCATCCACTTTCTTAATCCCAGCCCCTATTTTCTCTCGATTTGGTGCTGATACTTCTAGTCAGACTAGCTACATATATTTCACCGATTGCAAAGATATCTCCAATATTCCGGACCAGCATGCCTTGAAACCAACATCGCGCTCAGAGTCTGATACACCGGACTCAACACCACCCCTCTTGAGTGTATGGAGGGAACGGAAAACCTATGACTACCCGGGACAACCCGGATCAATTCATGCTACAAAACCCTCGGGAAAGAAATACCGCCCTCGTGGCCTCGGGCCAAAATACACATCACATCTGTTCTCGACAAACCAGATAGGAACAAACCAGATAGGAAGTTTGGAAATTTACGGAGAGGGAGGTCGTCGTCCCTTGTTTGTGGGAAATCTGAGGGATGTGTTGGATGGGTATGGTCACCGGTCAGATAGCCAGCTGGAGTATATAAACTCTTCGCTTCGAGCGTCCGGAAGGGGTCCATCCTGGATACCGAAAAGGGTCATAATATGGAAATTTGGGGGGTTGCTTTCTCCCTCCTGTGGGCGGGATGAAGGCAGTACCTTGAACCGTCCCGCTAATTCGACTGGCACAGCTCTACACTGCAAAATTCTCTGTGGATTCTGGCCGTTTCGGTCGGTTGTGGGTGTTGATGGCACGGGAACGCCATTACTGTAAACTGCGGTTCCGACTCCATTGATATTTCGTGAAAAAATTACTGACCCATTAAGGCCCCACACTCGTCCACTGTGTGTAGATGTCAGTACACGATACTAATCCATACAAGCATATGGATCATATAACGTACAGATACTTGGCGTCATCAGTCTTCTCGTCGTAGAACTTTCCCGCCATCTCGAAAAAGATATTCGCAGTCAAAAAGCTATCACTTCCAGCCTGGTGCTACGGTCCGACCGGGGGAACGCCTGTCTCTTCCGCGGTGTCTTGCAGTCCACCTTTGAGAGTGGGGCGACTCTTCATGAGAAATTTGATGTCGTAAAGCGCCGGGAAGTACTTGCTTAGGAGGTTTCGAAACTCACTCTCCTCCATAGGTAGAGGGAGTCAACTCGTAATATTAAAATGGTAGCCAAAATCGCAACCGGAATGGAAAGAAATCCAGTTGACGTCGTCGTACATGACTAACTCAGAGCTAATGAGGAGATTGCCACATTGATACCTGTCGATTCGAGCTGTGTTTCCGGATTTAGCCCATCGGGAGTTCTACCCCCAAAAAGCTCATCCATCGATCAGCTTTAGGCTGTTAAGGAGGAGCAAAGATTGGCTACAAGATGAGGGGATTGGTTAGTAGGATGCAAGGAAGATAGAGGAAGGTACGATAGGGAAGAAAGGAGCATACATATAGCAACATTACCGGTACACGATCAGCCACATATCGGAAGGTCAGGGTGGCCTTCATTTGGTTGTGTACACGGGATCTATACAATTTGAACAAGATAACAATCGTGACGGCCCCCGCTGTCCCTTCCTGCCACAATTGGAGGTCACGCAGTAATTGTGCCTGTGATTCGTCCACCCAGACTCGAGGACAACCGTTTGGAATGCCCACCTTATCCCATTAATACCGGAGCTGTAGGCGAGTTCTGGTATTGTTGACGAGCCAGAAAATGTTCCAAGAGTGTAACCATGAGCTATACAATTATGAGTAGAGGCTAGGGATCTTCGTAGGGTAAATGGACATACTAATCAGGGCATCCGTTATTGCTCCAACGGCCAACCTTCGAAGAATTTTCCTTCTAAAAAAAACATCTCTTCTTTTTACCAAGTCTGCTCCACCAACATATACCAAGAGATATGCCGCTGGCACCGGAGGACCAGATCATCCTACTTAAACATCACCCCACGGCTTTTTCTCTGTTTGGACCCTCACTCAAGAAAACGAGAAACCGTGCCGGAATAGAAACCTTCATCGGCAAAAGTGCTATACCGGGCCGTAGCCAGCCTACACTTCCGGGCGGAGGACGTGTGTGCTGTACTACTAATTTGCCCGCAGTTGCCGCAAGTGGACCAGATTATCGGGCGCGTGGATGATGTCGGGAGGGTATTGGATGGGGTGCTGAGGGGACTTTTGGGTGTGGATGGGAATGGGAAGGAAGGTGTTGAGAGGGAGGTTGTCGAGAGGTGTGGGACACCTTTGGATGCGGTTGTTGTGGATCTTTTTCTTAGGGAGGAGGGGGGATGTTAGGGGGGTTGAGGGGAGAGGGTGTAGTAGAGGAAGGGGTTACGAGTCGGTGGGAATGGGTGTAGGACTTGCTGCTTGGTTTCAGGCAGTTAATATATTATTGAGTGGGGTAGGCTGGTATCATAGCCAACTACAGTCTCGAGACGTTTGTAGTCTATCATTAGCCAAATAAACACTTGAGACAATTACAAAGCTTATGTCTCTTACTGACGCCCATCTCAGCATCCTTTTTCTCTCCCTCCCCTAGGCTTATAATACCAAATTCAACTCTACCTACGCTACCGCACAAACGAGCAAGATACTACGCAACCATGCAATGGACAATGTAGCTCTACTGTACAGCAATATCACGAAGTGTCAAAAAGCTCAAGAGTGGGATTAAAAATAATAATTCAAATAATATAATTCAAGACAAATAATATAATACAAGACTCAGTTGCGAGTGATAGCAGGGGCAAATCCCTGCTGTTGCAATTATTCCTCCACCCGAACCCGAAGTTCTTCCAAACTTAACGGTAGACGCGTTTCTGGGTCCAGGCCGTCGGGGGTTATGCCCCCAAACAGCTCCTCTATCGTTATCCATGGATCCGGATCAGAGTTGCTAGGAGGAGGAAGGATTGGCTACATGATAAGAGGGTTGGTTGGTAGGATGCAAGAAAGATAGAGGAAGGTACGATAGGGAAGGGGGGAGCATACGTATACAGAAATCACTGGTGCACCACCAGTCACATATCGGGAGAAGATCAGGGTGGCCTTAACTCGATTGTGTATAGAGTTCGTTACGGGGACTCCGGGGCCGAAAACTGCGAGTCCTTGCCCCCATTCCCCGCCCCGCCGGGGCGTATTTTCTCCTCCATTCCCTCCCGAGCCCGATACGGCCCCCCGCCCTGGCCATCCCCTGTACGGGGCCCCGCTATTGCCCCCACCAAATTATATGGCTGGGAGCACAATTGGGGTCGCCTGGTAGCCCCCATGCGGGGGGCGGGGCGGGGAGGGGGGAGTTTGGCGGCGCCCCGTGGCCGTAACGGGGCGGGGAGACGGTGGGGAAGGGCCGGGGGTTTAAGGGACGGCAGGGAACCGTCGATGGATGGTCCTTTACTCTTATGTGTCGGGCAAGTTTAGGAAAAGACCGGACGGGACGACACAATGCAGTCCGTCCTGGTCCTTCATTCCTACCTGTCGGGCATGTTGAGAAAATGACCGGACGGACTGCCCCGTTGCGAACACTGGGGTTGGTTAGTAGGATGCAAGAAAGATAGGGGAAGGTACGACAGGGAAGGGGGGAGCATACATATAAAGACATCACTGGTGCACCACCAGCCACATATCGGAGGAAGGTCAGGGTGGCCTTCATTCGGTTGTGTACACGGGATCTATACAATTTGAACAAGATAACGATCTTGACGGCCCCCGCTGTCCCTTGCTGCCACAATTGGAGGTCACGCAGTAATTGTGCCTGTGATTCCGTCCACCCAGACTCAAGGACTACCGTTGGAAATGTCCTCCTTATCCCATTAATACAGGGGCTGTAGGCGAGGTCTGGTATTTTTGAGGAGCCCGAAAACGTTCCAAGAAAGTGATCATGAGCTACACAATTATCAGTAGAGGCTAGGGAGCTTTGTAGGACAAATGGACATACTAATGAGGCCATCCGTTATTGCTTCAAAGGCTGCCGGGGTGAGGAGATGGTCATACGCCCACAAGTTGAATTCCGTCCTCATCCAAATAGCTGCAGTCAGGTGAAGGGCGGTTGGCACCACTACTCTGAGGTAGCCATCGGGGGCCACAAAGTGGATTCTAGTAATAATTAGCATCTCCTCCATTGTGCTGGGCATATACTTACCTCAAGCCAAGGGTATCGGTATTATCATTCGGATAAAGAAGATGTCTGAGAACTGTAGTGGATACCGTTGGATCAGGCTGTGTGAATACAAGAGACTCGCAGTTGTGAATTCCAAGCTCATGCTTGATTTTTGAGAGAATTTGTGTGGCCATGGTAAGGTTGTTGCGTTCTGGCGGTTGAACGAAGGGGTTATGGACGGAGTTTGCGTAGTTTGTGTATATTTCTCTCTGGTACACGTAAGCAGTTTGGGACTGCCGCAGCCGTTCTCCAATAGGGCTAACCT